TCTCTCTCTCTCTCTCTCTCACACTCAGAACAACAATGTGATTAGATCATGATCATCATGTTTTGATCATTAGTTGGCAAATATTATGATTTGATAGTAGATATCGTGTTCAACCTCATTATAATAGTCAGATCAAATATTGTGTGGTCAAGCAACTAACATCATCTCCAACACATTTTCTTTTCAATTTTCTTTTTGGTGATTCAATAAAGCTACATGGAACATCTCAAATATCTTCTTTTTTTTTTTCTCACACAAACTGTTAGTGGTGGGAAATTAATCAGTCTAATTCAAAACTTCAAAAATCCTCCACCTTTTTTTTTCTCTCCCACTCTTGGAAGTGGATACACCAAAGTGGATTTGTCCACATTTTGTTGGCCAAGCCATAAAGTATGAACGACAAGTGGGGAAAAGCACAAAGATTCATGTGGAATGTTTGGGAGAGCATATGTCTGCCATTTTATTCATCTAGGCCATTGCAATTCTTCAAGGATGTCACTCACTCCAATGCTGAAATAAAAATATTTAGGGAAATTACTGGTTGCAGTGCATGTCAAAATTTAAATAAGATTTGGCAGTTTAAATTGAAGGCCTACACTAGTAGTAAATATTGGCTGCAACGGTTATATTATGTTAGTACTGTTGACATGGTGTATTTATTTAATAAGAAAAGAATAAAAAAAGTATAATATGATCCATTTCTTATCATAGAATATGATATGGCTGAGTAGTTATGAGTTTAAATGGGATCCGTTGTTTGATTTGTGTACATATTAATACAATGTTATACCATTTGACATTACTGATATAATATAATCGTCAAAAACATCATATACGAAAAAGGCCTCACATGTAACATTTTTCACGGATTTCTAGGCACATTACTACACAATCTTTCGTATGATACTTCTTTATCCAATTACGAGACAATGTGCACAACGATCGGTGTTTACAAATAATTCAAATTAATATTTACGGTTGAGAATTATTTTTTGGTGTGACACTAATTTTTTTTCCCACTGTAATAATGTTTTTTTGGGAGAACATTAGAAAATCACAAACAAGCAAGTGATGCTGTCTAAAAGAGTCTAGTGTCCTAGCTCGTGTTTATATTATATTATAATGATAACAAATAGAAAAAAAAAAAAAGAGGAAATTACTACAATGACGGTGGTTTTTTCACATAAGGGTAATTTGAGAGATGATCATAGGATAAATGTCAGGGTTCTAAATTCTAATCTCATCATAACAGAAAAAAAAAATACAGTATGTTTTTAACTTTGTTAGTGACTAAGTATTGAATCCATGACCCGTCATTCTCCATTAAAATGCTATGCTAGCATTTAACCATAGTGGTACAGACGGTTTTGGCGTGCAAGTAATGATGACTCACCCTCAGTTATCATTTCATGTAGATGAGATGTTGGGCGATCCCTCTTTTGGATGCTAATTGCTTTCGTGCAAGCATAGATACATAATGAATGTAATGTATTCTTTATACTCCAGCTCCACAGTAGTCAGTTCCCTTTTAATAACAAACAGAATAATACACTATGATGGGGGGTGGAGGTACCAAAATTCACAATGTCAATGATAGTGATGGCTAAATTATGATGAAAGTGTTGGTAAATGGTAATGGGTCACCCCCACCCCCAGTTAGTATTGAACCAGATGAGATTCTTTGAAAATTTCTCTTTTAGGTGCTCGTTGCATCTAATCTGATTAATGAATCAAATTTCAATTGATTTGAATTCGAATATGATTTTAAAACTATATTTAATATTTTAACAGGTGTTTTTATAATTTTTGTGAATTATTTATAATTAAAAAATTTATTATTTTTATGGATAATTTATCATTTTAGTGGGTATTTTTACTATTGTTGTGAATATTTTTATTGATGTTATGATAACTATTTTTACTATTTTTTTCGGTACAAAACTTTTTATTATTTTTGTAGGTGATTTATCATTTTTATAACTCTTTTCATCACTGTTATAAGTGTTTTTGTTACTGTTATAATAATTATTTTTATTATTTTTTTGAATACTGTAACAATAATAAAAATACATACAAATATAATAAATTTTCATATAATAGCAAAATTTTATTTTTCGGTTGCATAGTGAAATCCTCTTCTTGTAGTTGTACAGAGACCGGAGAATATTGGCATGCTGCCTCCCATCAACTAGCAATGCCAATCAATTCCTTATAATGCCCTTGAACTTGATAAGACAGCAACCAATAATGCTACTCTAAATGCACCCCAACATCTAAAACGAGTCAACTTAAAAAATGGATGGCATTTGTTAGTCAGAATTGGAATTTATTCTGGTACTCATTTGTTTCAATATTAGATTATTTACTGTGTATTACTGGAAGATTCATTTGAATAAAATGAATCCCACTTTAAATCGATGATAATCAATTTTCCGGATAAAGAAAAACCAAACATTTGAGTGAGTTCGAAAAAAACAAATTTTTGGAATGATTCTCGTACAGAAAAAGAATTTTTGTTTGCAGAAACTCTTACAATACACTTTTTCTTTTTGTTTTTTTTTTCCTTTTCTTTTTGGGTCCAAGAAAGCTCAACAATTTGATCGGGGCTGAGGAGAAATATTCGACATAATGTATATACCAATGTCAAATGGTGTCATTAATCGATTATAGAATGTCATGTGTATTTAATGAGTCCCATTATTTTAATAATTACCTCATTTAATAACTATTATATTAAAGGAGTTTATCAAATCTTATTTAATATTTTATTATTGATCATCATTATATTCAATATTTATTCGGGGAGGGGCATGTAATTTCTGATTTCTGCAGGTTTGAAACCATTTAGGTGCTCAATTGCATTTGGCGTTCAAGATGGACTCTGAATTTCCAAAAAAAAAAAAAATCATCGATCAAAGAGTTCTTTTTAGTTTCATGGCTCTTTTTCGAACACTGCCAACCATCACTTTTTCTTTTAAATTTCAAACTAAATTATTTTGGGAATAGTGGAAAACTTTTGTAACATCAATAAACAGTAATTTTTATTTTTAGGATGCCGTATATAAATGTTTCTGGGCAGGCGCAAATATTGGCACCATCTTGTTGATGAGACAGAAGGTGGGCTATCCTTATTCCATCAAAAATAAAAAAAAATGACAAATCTCAATATAAAAAAATATCTTTTTGACATATCTCGATAATATGATGAGTATTTTTATTATTATATAAATATTTTTATTATTATTATGGTATTCAAAAAGGTGATAAAAATAATTATCATAACAATGGTAAAAATTCATAAATATTATAAATCTTTTTTTGAACAAATATCATTTGTTTTTTTTTTTTGTACGGAAGAAAAGTGTTAAAAATAATTACAATAATATTGATAAAAACACATACAACAGTTATAAAAATACCAAAAAAAAAAAATTAGTAAATTATGCACAAAAATAATAATTTTTTTAATTATAAAATAACTCATAAAAATTATTACCGACAAAAAATTTTGATACCATAGTCTAGTACGTATCATAAAACCAATACGACGCTGAGTGGAATATCTTGTAACGGTCCGGAATTGCTGCGCCTAGTGGAAGGCCTCGTGCTTGGTTTATTGGGCTTTGTACCTGGATGTGCTCAGTGCTCTGCTCCATTTTCCTCAAAAGCAAAGCCACCATGATACAACAGATGCGTATGGTGCGAAAGTATTTTTTTTGGTATCGCATTACAGATATGATAGTTTTTGGAAATTAAGTTTAAATTTTTTGAGTTATTCATTTTATATATTTAAACTTTTTTAATTTAACCCAAAAATTATATTAGTAAGAATTAGCCCATAGAATATTAGGACAAGTAGTATTTTTGTTATAATCTAATTTTAAAAATATATGACTTAATCCAAAAAATATATATATAATTTTTGCTGGGATAAGTCAAACAAGGAGTGGCAGAATCACGTTGGCCTCACTTATGGATCACCTTTGATAAGAACCCCATAATGTTATTTAATGGACTATATTTGCCTTTCCTACATATTTGAAAATTTCCATACGGTAATAGTCTATTTTTTTCTAGTAAATTAGTGGTTCATTAATCCCTTAAAATAAATATTTTACTATTAGATTAAATAAATTAGATGTTAATATTGTGATTAATTTATATATATATATATATAGAAAAAAATATTAATTCTCTTTTATCTAATTTGATGTTTCCTATTTTTTTTTAAAATAATTGTATAGTTATCATTTACTATTTTTTGGTTTCTTTATAATCTACGCCCAATAAAATAAGGTTGAATACAAAAGCTACATGTTTTAGTTAAAAGCATTTTATTGTATTTCAAATGTGCAATTTTTCAATAAGATCAAGAATGATTTCGACTACATTTTGTAATTAAATAAATAATAATTTTACTACGGACTATGTATTTGTGTGCATTGATAGAAAATTAGTGAAAAATCTAACTTACAATTAATTAATTATAAAAAATCTTAAGAATTTTAAAGAATATTGTATTTCACTTTAATATATGATTGAGTTAACATATATTACAAAAAATTTATTTTATTTCTTTTTGTTTAGATTTATTTAGGCAAAATAAATATTAATTTTAGTATTTCAATAATTTTATCTCGAATTTTAGTCTATTTTGTCATTCTTATACTCATTTTTTTAATATCAATTAATAAATTAAGTTTAATTATATTTTGGCCATCCATTCAACTCTCATCTCTCTTCACGTTTCCATTTGGCCTTTTAGGTAGTTTCAGTTTCAAGTGTCAATCTTACCAATTACCGTCATATGGATCTCCATATCCACTATACATAGTGCCACAGTAAATATGTGACCAATCTTCCCACTTTTTTCTTTCCTCTTTATTTCAAAACATTCTCTCTCTCTCTCTCCACACCACCTTCCTCTATAAATCTCCATCTTCTTCCTCAACCGCCTCTGTTAACCGTTAAAGTTCCTCTCACCCAGGGCCAGAAGGGAAATGGGTTCGTTGTGTAAGACAACAAACAGTGTTCTTTACCTATCAACGTGTCTTTTTCTTGCAGAGATTAGCCTTTCTCTTTCTGCTAAGGTGAAGTTTGTGTCTGTATATAAGCACGTGTGTGTAGGTTTTCTTGTGAATGTAAGTGCTTTGAACCTGTAAGGTTTATTATTTGGGGACTTGTTTGCAGGTGTATGTGGTGTATATGGGAAGCAGAGGTAGTGATGACCCAGATGAGATTTTGAGGCAAAACCACCAAATGCTTACTTCTATTCATGGAGGAAGGTAAACCCATCTTCTTTTCTCATCTTAACTGTGAAACAACGTTTCTTCACCCCTTTTTGTTTTCAATGTTGTTTTTTTATCCTCTTGCCAAGGCGGGATAGATTGGTTGTTTGTTTTGATTAAATCATTTTGTTGGTGACTTTGGTGTTGATTTAGTGCCGAGCAAGCCAAGGCATCTCATGTGTATAGTTATAGCCATGGTTTCAGAGGCTTTGCAGCCAAGTTAACAGAGGACCAAGCCTCTGAAATGGCCGGTAAGTCCGCCTTTTTTTCTCCCAAATACTGCAACTCTTTGTGAGTTGGACTGTTGTGTTTCGGAATAGTATTGAGAGTCAATACAAAATAAAGGTGAGATTACAACTTAAATTGCTGAGCTTGTGATAAACTGAGATTGTTTGGAATTCATTCTAATATTTTTGAATTGATCTCAATTTAGTTGTAACTTAATATCATTAAGTAGTAATAGAGTTTTTGGGTCATAATTTGACTCTGTATCGATCGTAGTTAAGCCTTATTTATTTGTAAATATGGAGAGTATACCAATACTCTTCAGAGATTACGTGGCCCTGACTAAATGTACTATCATTGTTACTGATATTAATATTTAATGTTAATCTTTTGAAACAGAGATGCCGGGAGTTGTATCAGTATTTCCTAATAGCAGGAGGAGGCTGCACACCACCCATTCCTGGGATTTCATGGGCCTTATGGGCGAAGAAACCATGGAAATCCAAGGCTATTCCACCAAGAACCAGGTTAATGTCATCATTGGATTTATTGATACAGGTGATTTGCTTTCCCCTTTTTGAAGTACTCATAAATGAGTCGATAACAGTCTGTACTCTGTAGACATGAAGATGGCCTCTTCATTCACTGGTTTGATATTTTTGGTGTTGTCAGTAGTAGTCCATCCTGATCATATCTGTTCATGATTCGACACTAATCCAGTCTCCTTAATATATGGATCTTGTACTTGCGAATTCTGCAACTATTCATCGTGTTATATTAATCCATCAACATCATGTCATATTAAGATCAACATCGTGTTAGTTTCAACTAAATTACTGCTAATTCTTTGCAAAAAGTACAAGGTTAGTACCACATAAAGATCAAAATCGAGAACATTTTTACTTGATAGTCTACTAGGAAACACGGATGCAGATACGTGTCACGGGTACGATACGATGCATATATGGCAATACGGCAAAACTTAAAAACATAAGAAACAGATACGATTAGGATACGTCTATAATAAAATATATTTTATATTTTATTATTATTTAACAACTTAGAAGTTATAATTTTTCAATAATTTTTTAACATTAGTAAGTAAAATTAAGAATTTTTAGTAATATCGTCTCATTATGATATGCTCATAAAATGAGCATGACCAATTGAAGAAATCATAACCACATTTAACTAGTTGGTTTTACAAGTATTTATTTTTAAAATTATAATGTAAGTGACTCATTTTTTATACACTTTTAACATGTAATAATAGATAATACTTAAAAAACACTTGTGTCTTCAAAAGCAGATGGAATTTTGTTGATTTTTTATATTGTATGTGAACTCCAAAAAAGGGGTATAACTTAAAATTGAAAATTGTACATCTTGCTCTATGTTTAGAAGTATCCGCAAAGTATTCACATATTTTATTAATTATTGGATACGGATGATGTGTGTTCGATACGTATTATTAAGTATCCGACGAGTCGGTATCCGATACGGATACGTCGACTTTAATGAAGTATCCGTACTTCATAGATAATCTATCCGTGTTATAATATTGGTGTGTAAGATAAAAAGATCTTTCGTGCCCATCAATAGAAATTTGAACTAGCATTAAAAAAAGTTTTTTTTTTTTGAGATGTTTTGCCCATTATGTAGTTGTTTATCTCAAATGCGGAAAAGTTAATTTTTTTTCCATTCTTTTTCTTTAAATCACACTTTGCTTAGGTTTACATCAATCCTAGTTCAGTTCTCAATCATGCAGACAACACAATTCCAAAAGTTCATGCTGTCCACATTTGTGCCTAAAACCGCAATAACTCATTGTGGATTCTCTATTGAAATGCAAAATTCAAATGAAAAATTATGTTGATTTTGAACACCATTTAAACAGGAATTTGGCCTGAATCCCCAAGTTTTAGTGATGCTGACATGCCTCCGGTGCCAACTGGTTGGAAGGGGCACTGCCAATCAGGGGAAGCATTCAATGCTTCAACTTGCAACAGGTTTTAATCTTTATAACCGAAATTTGCCAACCTTTTTCAAAGTTCTTATGTTTGATTACTTGGATTCCCAGCCTCAGCTAAAATTGTCTTTATATAGGAAAGTCATAGGAGCAAGATATTACATGAGTGGCTATGAAGCTGAAGAAGATCAAGTGAAAGTGTCTTTCAAATCTTCGAGGGATAGTTCTGGCCATGGAAGTCACACAGCCTCGACTGCTGCTGGTCGTTACATGACAAACATGAATTATAAGGGGTTGGCAGCTGGAGGAGCCAGAGGGGGTGCACCAATGGCCAGAATTGCAGTCTACAAGACTTGTTGGGACTCTGGATGCTATGATGTGGACTTATTGGCTGCATTTGATGATGCAATTAGAGACGGGGTTCATATCTTGTCTCTGTCTCTTGGTCCTGATTCTCCTCAGGGAGATTATTTCAATGATGCCATCTCTGTGGGGTCTTTCCATGCTGCCAGCCATGGAATAGTGGTTGTTGCTTCTGTTGGGAATGAAGCCATCCAAGGGTCTGCTACAAATCTTGCTCCTTGGATGATTACTGTTGCTGCTAGTTCAACAGACAGGGATTTCACATCCGAGGTCATACTTGGAAATGGAGCCAACTTCACGGTAATGCCATTTACTTAGTACTGTTTGGTAACATTTTCATATTTGCTACAAACTTGCATTTACTTTTTCTAAGTAACTATTGTTTTTGCATGTTTGTTTTTTTTTTTTTCCCTTTTTTCCTCATCTAGATTACTTCTTTCTTCCAACGTCGATCGCATGAATATTAGTGTAGGCATGCACTTACATTATAGGTATTCATGTATTAAGGTTATTGTATGGTAACCACGTATGTTTTTTTCTTGCTATCCATATAAAATTATTTTTTCGGCTAAAATTAATTGCCTTATGTTTCATAACTTTTAGAACCTTTGTAATTTTGAGTCAATGAATAGGGTGAAAGTCTCAGTCTCCTTCAAATGACTGCCTCCACAAGAATAATATCTGCTGCTGAAGCTTATGCAGGATACTTCACTCCTTATCAATCCAGGTGAAGCAAAAGGTACTTTGTTGTGGGTACAATCTAGATATATTTGCATTATATGGAAACCTTAAGTTATTTTTATCACCCCTGCTTGTCCCTCTAGTTACTGTTTAGAGAGTTCCTTAAATCGAACAAAAGCCAAAGGGAAAGTTCTAGTTTGTCGACATGCTGGAAGCTCAACAGAATCAAAGCTGGTGAAAAGCGAGGTAGTTAAAGAAGCTGGTGGAGTTGGAATGATCCTTGTTGATGAAACAGATAAAGCTGTTGCCATTCCCTTTGTAATCCCAGCAGCAATTGTTGGAAAAAGGATGGGAAAGAGGATCTTGTCTTACATTAACCATACACGGTTTGCCTTCTTCTCTTTGATTGTGAAGATTCAGTCAAGAATTTTCGTTTTTCTATTCAAAATCCTCTCTTTTATGTATACAGCAAGCCGACGTCAAGGATTTTCTCCGCAAAAACTATATTAGGATCTGAACCTGCCCCTCGAGTAGCAGCATTTTCTTCAAAAGGTCCCAATGCCTTAACTCCAGAAATTTTGAAGGTACATTTAATGGGAAAGACAATCTTTTATGAGATAGCCTTCCCATAATTCCTCGAATACAATTTTCTTGATGCCTTTCTCTCTGATTAGTTTGCCTTGTTACTTCATTGCACGACTCCTACACTGGATTGAATATCTTCCCTGGTTATGGGGTCGCTCTTTTCGTTCATATGTTTTGCACTGCATTGTGGTCATTCTGATAACTTTTCTTTACAGCCTGATATCACGGCTCCAGGATTGAATATCCTTGCAGCTTGGTCTCCAGCAAATGGAAAAATGCAATCTAACATACTTTCTGGAACATCCATGGCTTGCCCACATGTAACAGGAATTGTAGCCTTAATAAAAGCTGTGCATCCCTCGTGGTCTCCTTCCTCAATCAAATCTGCAATCATGACGACGGGTAAAGTCTTACAAGCCTCTGAAACAAACTAAAAAGCCTAATTACTTTATAGATATTCATAAGTAATGTGGTTTAGCTCGAGGTCTATCCAAATACTTAAACCATGATTTATCACACTGCCATATCTTCTCTCCTGTTATCGTGGGGAATTTTCATTTGCTTCTGAACTCCTATATGAGAAATGACCTGATTAATTTGCCTGAATTGCCCCTTCTTCTTGATGGGTCCTGCAGAGCTTTATATTTTTATATCCATATATTAATATGTTTGAAAAAACTATTGATAAATTACAAAGTTTAGTAATATGAAAATCCTAACTTTTAACAATGTAACATTTTCATCAAGAATCTGAGATTGTAGAAGCTAATGCAGCTACAGTAATGGATAAGCGTCAGAAACCTATCACAGTGGACCCTTTTGGAAGAAGAGCAAATGCATTTGATTATGGATCCGGCTTTGTTGATCCAACAAGAGTACTTGATCCTGGTCTCATCTATGATGCGCAACCAGCAGATTATAAAGCATTTCTTTGTTCCATTGGTTATAATGAGAAATCACTACATCTAATAACAGGAGACAACAGCACATGTGATCAAATGTTTGCAACAGCTTCTGCCCTCAATTATCCGTCTATAACAGTACCCAATCTGAAGGATAGATTTTCTGTAACTCGAACAGTGACAAATGTTGGGAAGCCAAGAAGTATTTACAGAGCAGTAGTGTCTGCTCCAGTAGGAATTATTGTCACCATTGTGCCCCGACGATTATTCTTCAATGGCTATGGGGAGAAGATTAATTTCACAGTAAACTTCAAGGTGAATTCTCCATCAGAGGGCTACCTGTTTGGATACTTGTCATGGAGGAACAGAAAATCATGGGTTACTACTCCTCTGGTTGTCAGGGTTTCACATTCCAAGTTTGGTTTAGTGACATGATATTGATGGAATGGAAGGCATAAAGATAACACGCATAGAAATTGAAACGCCAGTGCAAATTTAGCAAACTTCCATATCATAGATGTGAACAAATCATCAGTGTCTTTTCGGGTTTTTTTTTTTTTTTTTTTGGACATTTTCCCTCATTTTCTTTATAATATATTGTAAATCTTTACACTTTGACATACTTGGCTACAGACTGATACCTTGCAACTGTTGGATTGAAAATAACTTTCATTCAACTTTAGAACTTCTGTAATGAATTAGATCCTAGAATTGCTTTTGATATATTCCTAAAATTGACATCAGGTTTATTATTACTGTAAGGGTTCGTGGCAGCTCTCATCATCACGGTGGGTATCTAGAAACATGCTTGGTCAACTAGCCCAGTACAGTTCTTTTGATAGTGTCTAAGGACCTGAGGTGCTGTTTACACTTTACAATTGATGACTAGAACTATCAATGGGTCGTGTCGCATTTTCAAATTGTGTTAGTGTACCATGTTGAGTTCATTTATTTAACCGAGTTTGTGTTGACTTATTTCCTTGATAGAGTTGCCTTATTTACTTGATGGATCTAACAACTTTGACAAGTCTACCTGTTCACTTCTTCGAACTTAAACAAAACTCATATCCCACAATTCTGTATGATTTTGTGTGGAATTCACAAATTCTGTATAGAATTACCAAGTCATCTACCAATGGACTGTTTGTGGAGCTGGACTCCGACATGTCAGTAAAATCCAGCATTGAACAATAAACAAATCTGGTATCAGGATACTTGCATTTTAAACACATTCTCTGGAACTGCCCCTGCTTACACAACACACAACAGTCAATTGGGCTACGACATCCACGATAATGGTTATTGGGTTCTACAAGGCGGCCAAACTATTCCACCACTAAGAACTTGTCTTGGTCTTCTTGACTTACCAGTACGAGCTTACTACGAACTTCTAGTCGTCAGTCGATGCTTCAATTTGACACCTATATATAGTTGCGAAATAGTTTCTTTTTTATGACTAGGTTAGTTAAAAAGTTAGGAAGGAGACATTTAATCATTATATGCCGAAGTTAAAAAGCACAGGCTCATAAAGTGCTTGGAGGAAAGCTGGCCTGGTGGTAAAGAATGGGAGCTAGTTCTTACGAATAGATAAAAAAGGAGGGACCTAAAAGACAATTAAAGTCAAGAAAAAAAAGGATTTATCCTCCTTTCGGATATTCGATGGCTCTAGCTTGAACTTTCCTTTGTCATGAGTCATTGATAGCTGTAACATGCCTTGGTCATCGAGCAACTCAAGGTAAGACTTCAAAAAATACAATAAGCAAGTGGTCATTAGCATTGTGGCCATCGTCGGCATTTGGCAAGAGATATAAGATAATGGCAAGATAAGTAACTTATAGCCTTCTTAATATTACTTAGACTTTGATGGACGGCCATCAAACATATTCTTGACCACACCTCCATCTTGATTATTCGCTAGCAGTTCCTTGGTCTTTAGAACAAGATTTTCTCTTTCTTGTCTTATCTTAGGCCCATCTTCACCAATTTTAAACATTCTCTCCTTGAGCTTCGATTCCTCTTGCAACAAGACAGAATCCTCTTGCTCAATTTTTCTTCACTTTCTTTGTTGGAGGATATTGATGGAGAAAAATTCTTCATGGAATTAATGAAATCCATTTTGATCTTGACTTCATCTTGAAAGTAATGAGCTTGAGAAATATTATTCTGAAGGTGAGCATTCATAACAACTACTTATTGTTGTTGTTGTTGTTCTATGAAATATGTAGAAGAGACAATAGAACTTTTAGCCATACAAGAGGCTATGGCAGAAGGGCCATCCTGGATAAGCTGATTGAAGGAAAGCTCAAGAAATTTGAAGAAAGCGTGAAAAGTCTTGCTCCAGAGGCCTTTTAATGAGAAGGAAAGAGATGCTAGAAGAAGATACAAAATCAATTGTCTTTATGAATTCATTTGCTTTTTGATAAACAACCTCAATATCAAAATCTGACATGGAAATATGAGAGGTAGATTCGGGGTATCAACTTCAAATGGGAACAAAAGTCTGATTAGGGAAAGGAAAGAAATGGCATAGACAGGTGAAACAATAGCATATTACCTAGCTCAAAAAAGAAGTATATGAAAAGACTTCTTTAATTGATCTGATTGGCATCAGGATTGGTCAAAAGGATATCAACTAGATCAGGATTTGCAGATTTCTCAAAATCAGTCCCCTAAGGAGTGGAATGGTCTCAATAGGAGGATCTTGACAAGAAGTTGAAGAGCAACCTTCAAGGGGTAAAAGATGCATGTATTGACTCAAAGGAGTGGCACCAATTGAAATTTCCATTTGAATGTCTCCTTGATCACTTGGAATAGTGTTGTCTTCTTATCCTGGAGGAGTTGAAGAGGAATGATCGAAGTTGCTATTCTTTGATGGTAGAATCAACTTCATACTCCTTTTCTGAAAAAATAAGACCAAATATTACAAAATATCCTAAAAAGTGGGTGGGGGGGGGGGGGGAGGTAAGAAGCAAAAAATTGATATTCTTACCTTAGCAATTTAAATTGTTTGCCAAATTGTTTAGTTGAGGAGATAAGGTGGTTGATCAACACATCCTCACTATTAATTGGAGAAGGAGCTAGAGTCTCATTTTCCTTGAAGAAAGGAACAGATGTTGGTGGTTGTAATGACTTTCACATAAGTCACTTCATCTAGCTTATCTGAAGAAAGGGGAACACTTTTCTTCTTACAACCAAAGTTGACTTCTTCAACCTCAAATTTCCATTTGAATGTCTACTTGATCACCTAGAATAGTGTCATCTTCTTATTGTGGAGGAGTTGAAGAGGAATGATTGGAGTTGCTATTCTCTGATGGTAGAATCAACTTCATGCTCCCTTTCTGAAAAAATAAGACCAAATATTACAAAATATCATAAAAATGGGGGGGGGGGGGGAGTTAAGAAGTATAAAATTGTTATTCTTACCTTAGCAGTCAATTTAATTGTTTTCCAGATTATTTAGTTAGGGGATAAGACAGCTGATTAACACATACTCATTATTAATTGCTGATTAGCACATACTCACTATTAATTGGAGAAGGGACAAGAGTCTCATTTTCCTTGAAGAAAGGAATGGATGTTGGTGGTTGTGATGACTTTCACAAAAATCAGTTAATCTGGCTTATCTGAAGAAAGGCAACCACTTTTCTTCTTACAACTAAGGTCGACTTCTTCAACCTTTTGTTCATCAATAAGAGGGATTATTGGTGCCTCAGTGGTTGTGTGAGAAGATTTAGCCTTATTGGGAGGTGGAGTAGCAAAATGATGGGCATCGATAGTAGATTACATTATCTTTGAAGCATAACATTTTTACCTTTCTTTTTTGGTTCCTCAATTTGGATGGCCTTACCCTTGCTTGGGTTGACAACAATAGAAGGAATAGGTTTGGATGCTTCAATTTGCTTTCTCCTTTGATACAAGATGTCAAATAAAAAGTTAAATAGGGATTGAGAAGGAAAAAGAGATAAGTTGAAAAGAACAAGATATAAAGCTCACTTGCATGACTAGTCTTATGAGTCTGTCAATTGTCAAAACATAGCCTTGAGCATACTGCACCAAAATAAATAAAGATCAAGGCTGAAATGTTCTACCACCATTCTGTGTGGAAAGAAGACTATGATTGATTGGAGACAAAATGGGTAAAACAAAATGGTTCCAACAATTTCTCATAGGCCTAAAAAATTTGATGAACAAGGGCTTCTAACTTTATCTTGGTCCTCTCCCCAGAAGGTTCATCGATGGTTGGATGCTTGAAAGGAAATAGAATACTCTTAGTCAGGGTAAATTATCTGGTAAACTGACTAGGGTTGTAGCTTTCTATGCTACAACTAAAAAATCTAGAGGCAAAAACAGAGCCACCTACATGGAGATATCAAGGTAGTAGAACACTACTCTAGAAGAGACGTTGCAACTTTGTTGCTTCTACAAAAGAAATATCTGAGTCACCAAAAAATGGTTCAATACGAGAAGAAGAGTAGAGAAATCTAGAAAAAAAAGGTATATGAAGAGTTATCTCTGTCTTTGCTAAATTGGAGAAAGATTTAAAAATCGAAATCAAAAGTTTTTTCTATGAATAAGATTGAAGGAGACAAGAATAGAGGCATAATGTATGCATTGGTACTTAAGGTCAAGTAAGGACTCAACAGGATAAATTTCGTGAAAATAGGCATAAAGCCAAGCCTGAAAAAGCTAAAATGTGCCTCCACAATTGATAGTAATCCTATTTTCTATCAATTAAAGAGGCCCATATATAATACCCCAAGAACAAAAGGGGCCAAGGCAAGTTCCTTCTTGTTGGCCAAATGAATGGCCACTCCAAGTTATTCTTTGGTAACCTTAAAGCTAGGAACACAAAAAACAAATTGACAAAGCCAATGAAGAAGAAAGGCTACGTGTTCCTCAAATGTAGGGTTGGAAGATTTGGAAGTAAAGAAGTGGTTGATTAATTCAGAATATCTTGCATTGGCAAGGAGATTGACAAAGGAACGACCTGATCAATGGGGAGACAAGCATTTATTTCCATCCGCCTTGATGTAAACCTTGTTAGGTGGATGGTGTCTAGAATGGTTAGAGACATCATGCTAATGGGTAGAAGCATGACATTGTATTGATTGAGACCAAAAACAAGTGATTGAATCAATCAGTCACTGATTCATATTTGTTTTGCATGTAGAGAGTTTGGTTATTTTGTAAATACTTGAGCACCTCCATTGGTGAGCAAAATGAGATTCTAACCTCTAAACCCAATCAACCCACTGTTGATCAGGATTTATCCATTAGCGAAGAGGGTTAGTCCCTTGGTTCCAAGACTTCCATAGAAGTTGAGTTTGGTTTAGCATTAGGGTTTCTCCCTCATGAACAAGATAGAAGTCAAAGAAACTCTCACAGACATATGACTTGAAGGAGGGGCCAAGAGAAATATTCCCACTGGAATTAGGGGTGGGAATCAAAATCCTATAGTCCACTGAGTCATGGGCTAATTGCTTGATTTTAGTGGGAAATTTAGGAGAGAAAGGGAAGTCAGACGAAGACGAAAATGGAAGAGATTGCTTCTTCGGAGCCATTTTTT